CCTCAAGAATCAGGTTCAACTCTTTTTCTTTTCCACGGGTCACACGCAGGGAGCCGTCAAAATACTTACGGATGTCAGTAGTGTCCTTTCTCTTCCCAGGCATTCACAAGCACGAAACAGCTGATAGTCTTCACGGGCAATAGACAGAAAGAGCTGACAGACACAGCACAGCCCCGAGAAGGGGCCACTATGCGGAGCGCATTAGAAAGCGTCCGCACTCTAGACCCTCCAACGATCGAATCCCCTCGTCGGACGTCTCAGCATTACTCTTTAGTTTCTCCCAGTTTCTATTTACATTTTATGCACAGTTACTAGCTTAAATCGACTGTCAAAGAGTCTTAAAGTAAGACATCTATCTGCTTGCCTCGAGTTCCCTTGAAAGGCAGTCTCCCAATATGCCATCATGCGAGTTGCTAGAACTCATAAAACTGAAATTGACCGTCACGTGTTTCGAGACAGAACCAATCCATTAGATATTTTACGACGACGAAGAGCTCTATCGGAGATTCAGTTTTGACCACCGGGGATTTGCTTCATTGTTGACATGTTGCATCATGAATTGGACCGCTACCACGCTAACCAATTCATCCCGCCTGTGATATAGATGTGTACTTTCTTAAGATTTTATCCAACTGGAAACATGCAGCTGGACGATGTAGACCGATGTGGGGTTTCATAATCATCTGTCAGTTGAGTCATCAGGAAAGTATATTTAGTATCGGCGATCAAGATGTCCAAGAAAGGCGCAGAGTTCATCAATCCGAGGGGTTACCACTCAGTGTGAAGCATTGTGTGATGTCAACTGCTGCCACACCTATATCAATGTAACGTAGCCCGGAGAAACTCATGATGCTAGTGTTTTCATGTAGGGGTTGTGATATCACTGTAATCATTTATCAGGTCCAGACGAAGTACGTAAAAAGAGGAATCATGAAACTTAGAAGCGAAATCCTTTCCCCTGAAATTCATTGGTTAGGTCATATAAATTTCCTTTACAGGAGCAACCACCAGTATACAATGCTTGAGAGGTTCCTAATATGGGAATTATCCTTGGCAACAGTGCCTACCATGCCCATCCATACTTCATGACCCCTCTCTCAAATCTGCAAACACCACAAGAGTTTCACTACAACAGTGCTCATTCATCAACAATGTCATAGAGAGGGCTTTCGGACTGTGGAAAAGGCGATTTCACTGTCTGCACTGAAGAGTGCAGAATGGAGACACGGCGTGTCGCACTGTGGTTAACCCTTGTGCTGTCCTCCACAACTCATCCAAATCCCGACGCCTCGCATACTCCCAAGGCATTTTTGTAGATGATTCAGAACCGCCCAGCGACCCTCCGATGGCTGACACCACGGGGACCTCGGATATCTCCTTTATTCAGCAGTGTTTCTGAATGTGAGAACATGGGAGAAAGAGGGAAAAGAGAAAAGGACGGAAGTCCCGAAAAACGTTAGAGATTCTCAAAAGTAAGAATGCTCTTGCTGAGCTTGGAATCGGCGCAAATTCTCAATGGTCATCAATGGCGTCCCGACTGAAGTGTTCAGTTCAGGGAAGGAGGGTATCGCCGATAATTTTCCCACTTCTGAACTCTGAGGACTTCACTTTCCAGTTTCAACTTCTTTTCCAATCCCAACTTTGGTTGCCTCCATATTTTGCCTATTGTTGCAAGAGTACTTCATATTCAAGGTCTACGACCATTTTAGGTGTCACCTCTGTTGCCTTTGTCGTCATAGTTCCTATCAATACATTGATTTTTCTCCTCCTTCTATCATCAATTTCAGAGGGCTCAAATCTCCTTCTTACTCTCACAGCTATCGCGTTCTTCAGCTTCCAAAGCCACCAAATCACTAAAAATTGAGACAAAGGTATACCCTTTTCCCATTTAATCATCCGTAATTTTCTTATGCGGATCGATAAATGCTTTTCTTTGGCTTTTGCTGCCTACTGGACGTTTGGAGAGTCGTCGCCCATGACACCAGATCCACGATTGCTCTCAAAGATATCAGGTATACCAGAAATGGAGGGCGAATCTCTGCCGATGATATCCCAATGAATGGACCCCCGTGTCGGAAGTGGAGTTGGCGGAGGATCACCACCTGTTAATTACCACTCATTGATGTGCCTCAAGATGCTAGGCCGAAAAAAGACTAATGCTTGGAAGGGGCCGTTATGTCTAGTACAAATATAAGAAGTTCTTACAAGGCATTAGTGAATACCTATTTCGATTTGCATTTGACTAGCCTCTTTTACAGTCCTGGGCGGTCTTGAAATACGATATGAGTTCCTTAGCTGTTGATCCCACATTGGATAGTTTCTTCTGCATCTCAATGGTACTTCTCAAAAAGCCACGACGCCCCATCGCGTTCTCGGCTTGCAAACCACGATCTATGTTTGCCCTTTGTTGTTATCTTTGCACCAAGAACCGTTCTGAGAATATCTTTCTGCTGAATATATTTTTCCATAAGAATTGTGAGTTCTTCTGCCGTTTTTCCTATCCATGTCTAACATGGATTCGCTCTGCTGGATTTAGAAGGCCCCCTTGTAAGAGGATGAGACTCGTCCCTAAAGAGGTTCCTCCTCCTACGTATCGGTCACGTGATCAACTTAGGTATATTGCTTTATCTAAGGAAATCGCTCAACTCAGCAGATTTCTCAGAAAGGTATTAAATTCCAACTTGAGCTGAATACTTTACTAAAACAAACTCGTAACACATTGCGTACCGGACATTTTACCCCGTCGATCCGCTGCTCTGACCTAAGCCTCAGTTACCTAAGCCTATAGCTCGATGCCTACAAGTCTATGACTTTTTCGGCCATAGGCTAGGCAAGAGGATTAAAAAACGGAGAGCTCCGTGAGCGGTACGTAATGCGTTGAAATTTAAAATTTATATTTTACTGTAAGGTAAGATATTAATACTGTAATTCCCCTGGTCCAGAGCCTGGTACCAGGGGCTCTTTCCTCGCAAAAATGCAACAAGGACTAATCTCTGCCGGCACAAAAAGACGAAGGAGACAGAGAGGTGATCTTGGTGATCCCGACTTGGGAAGAAAGAGAAAATTACGGGGTCGTCAAATGCGTAAAACTTCTCCGGGATCCTCTCGGATGGTCGGCGTCAGAAACTCAAACAGAAACTCAGTTGGCTTGAAGGTACAGTTACCCTCAAGGCACGATTGGCTTCATGGAACAGTGAATGTGAACATATTTGGTTGGGATTTCTTTGTCCCAAAGCCCATACAGCACTTTGAAAAGAGACCCTATATTCCCAGTAACCGATACTTTGCTTGAAGAAGTACAAAGATCTTCGCTCGTCAGGCTCACTAATCGCCATGATTCTCCTGCTTGGAATTGATAGTTGGCAATGAATCTCACAAGAACTTGTGAAAAAGTACAATTCATTAGGAATCCAAACGAGGAGTACAACAAAACAAAGGAACTCCAGGACGCACATCTCCAATGCCTTCTCCTACCTTTCTTCATCGTCATCATCTGTTTCTTCATCATTCAGGTTTCGATATGAACCAAATTTCCATGTGGCGGTGATGGTAGTATTGGCAGCCAGTATTTCATATTTCTTTATCGTCTCTTTCTTATCCCACCAATCTCTACTTGATAACAGAGTACAACAGAAAGCCACATTCAAGTAGTCACTTAACGAACTGTATCTAGTAGCTGCACGAACTGTATTCTCCACCTGATAGTGTACTCATCATCGTCTATAGCACAGCTATGTTGATCTGAAGCCATCACAGCTAAGGTTTTGCAACCAGAATAGAATTAGAGAATTTGTTCAGATTTCCATGTTCTGAGGTTGGAGTTCCATTTGAATGCGTCATCTGCCTTACCGAGCACGCCACACTCCGTGCGATAAGATAGCCAGTTAGAGGAGGGAGAAGAATAACGATACTTCTCGGTCCTATCCACTAAATCGTTACTGGTCTCCCTATGCGAAATATATATTCCAGTACTATGGTGCTCAGTGACCTTACTCGCTAAGGCAGCTGCCGACTTACTACGTGCCATACCGTGATAGTTTTATGATGGCGACGAACAGACGGTTGTCTATAGTTCTTGTTGGAGTGACAGGAAGCGGAAAATCCACCCTCGGAAATATACTCCTTGGCTTCGAACCCGATCAGCCAGAGGGTTTTGGCACAAGTTCCAGTTCGAGAAGCTGCACCCTCGACACGGAAACCAGAAATGGCTTCTGGCTGGGAGACAAAATAACACCGATCCGCATCATCGACACACCGGGACACGGAGACTGCGACGGTCGGGACGAGCATCACAGGGAAAAAATGGTGAAATTTCTTCAGGCTGAGGGAACGGTGGACGCCTTCGTTTGGATCAAGAATTCTCAGCAGCCGAGGTACGATAAGCAAGAAGCGGAATATTTCGGAATCTTGATGAAGGTATTCGGACCCAGCCTCTTCAAGAATCTAGTGGTCGTCTTCACCCGTTGGGCTTTTGGCAAAAAAGACGAAGTCAGGCGCAACCGACGGCGGCCGCCCTTGACATTGGAAGACGTGAAGAAGGAGCTTTGGAACTCCTTCGTGGAAGGTCGAGACCCCATTGAGGTGCCGATGATGGCCGTCGACGCGTTACACGACTCCGAAGACGAGATCGAGGCCGCAGCGTTCCGGCGAGAAATGGAGGTGTTCCTTAGCACCATCACAAAGTTCAGCGCCATGCCGGTGAGGGAAATTCAGATGGTCCGCACCGAGGCCGAAAAGCTGGAGCAACAGATCGAAAGCCTGAGAGAAGAAATGAAAGCGAACCGAGATCTAGCCGGCGAGGGGCTCCAAATCGCAATTAAGAAAATGGAAGAACTGGAGGACAACCTAAAGAGGAACCGGGAATCGCAGCAGCCTCCCGCCTGGTTGGAGTCAATGCGCCTTTTCGCTCCCATCGCTCAGAAGTTGTTGGATTTCGGATTGCGGATCGCTGAAAGGAGGCTGTTGAAAAATGAATAGTCATAGCCTGGGAATTCTCATATACGTCCAGTGAAATTATTATTGTTTGTTTGCCTGTTCGGAACCGGACGAAAAGGAAATGTTATTATCCATCGATGACCGAAATATGATTGTGCTGTTAACGACATTGTGATGCTTGCGACTGGGAACGGCAGCATTTTCCTCCCAAGAAAATTTATGAACAGTTCTTGGGAATGAAGAAATTTAATGATGCAGAGACGCCCTGTTGTAATACGAGTATAATGGAGCGATTACGTGTGATCTGCAACGGTTTCATCTTGACTTGCAAGAAGTGACGAAAATAAACTGCTGGGAGCTCAATTCAGGTGATGTTCTGCTGTTGTGACGTGTTCAATTTTCTGCTCATTCCTATTAGACTGGTTCCAAATCGGGTTCCAGATCATTGGGTGCAATTCTGAGAAACATTTTTAAATACTTTTTTTTGGTCGTCTTCAAAAATGGAGGTGGCAGAGGGAGGATTTCCATGCTTTTTGCTGAGAACCTTTCAGTAAGGGATGGTTCGTTAGCAACGATGTCGGAAACGATGCCTGGAGAATCGTTGAAATCGGAGCTTCTACGCTGTCTTGGGAAAATATTACCTCTCGCCTGACAATGAAATTTCTATCATTCAAATGCTTTTTTTGAAAGAAGGAATGTATGTTTTACATGGGTCCTTGGAAAAAGCAAACGCTCGTACAAACGGGTAATGTTGGTACTTATTTGGACCTTGTTAGGAGACCGAGAACCCTTGTGACGTGAGAGGGATCTTGCCGAGAATCAGAATCTCTGAGTCATTCTAAATGCCACAAAGAAAAATTGTATCCAAATCTACGTTTAATCCGTGAATTAATTTTCCAAAAGATGTACGAACAGATATCTGCAGCAAGTATCTGCTGTACGTAGGTACATTTGCTACAAAAGCTCGAGTGTCTCAGTGAAAGATTCTCAGAGCTTCATCTTTGCCCTTTGCCCTTTGCTTTCCATTCCAGTAAAATCCGCCGAAAGTTACTGACCATGTCAATTTCTTTTTATCTCCAACAGAGTTCCTTAAAGGAAAGACCACTGACATTTTTACCATGAGTCGCAAAGCGAACATAGTTCACGCCTGCAGAGTGGCCAACAATTTAATTGAACTGCAGCAAAAGTTCCGTTCCTTTTTTGGTCAGTCTAGTGTATAAAACTCGTCCAAAGGAATTTAATATGGAAATATGTTTAGTATCGAATCACCTATCGTGAAGATGTATTTATAGGTCGTACTGCCTCGAGGTGAGAGCAGATCGGATCGTTAAGAGAAATCATCCTTTTTTCATGGAAGCTGCATTCTCAACGGAATATTCCCTTGCGAAGCACTATGGTATTTAATTTCCCACAAGCATAAGCGAAGCTCCTCCGACAAAGGTTTGCAGAATGTGGATCGGCATGATGCCGCCTGAAGCTTCTAATCCGCATGTTTCGGCCCCCGAGCACGACAATGCGGTCCAAGTGCTTTTGCGCCTCGATTTTTCATAACTAGTGCTTGTGAAAGCAGTTGGCACCCGACTCAACCCAAACCTTTCTATTTTAGAGTGGAAATCTTCTGCACATGAGCTGGCACACATTTCATCCACGACAGAACAGCAGTCAAGCGATCCAACTATATGAAACAAACACGGGTGGCAACGTACTTCGTCAACATTCAGAATTGTCCAAGAAGTACTTGAGCAATGGATTCGCCATCGCTACTCGATGGGCAGGTTCCCGGGAGTGCCATGCTAGATATCATCAGAACATGACGCATTTCTGTTTATATCTTCGACTATATCCTATTCGTCACGCCACGCTCTCTGAGTCCACAGATTTCAAGCCGTTTCTACTCCAACAGATGTGGGTACTTTGGAGTCCTTATCCATCATTATCCTTCATGAATTCTCGTAAGAGACGACGTCCCAATTCAGGAAAAACTGTCACCCATCCATAATCTCTACTTCTTCAACTATTTTTGAATTCTCTTCTTGTTGTCTCCTTCACTATAGGACTTTGAAATGAAGACAATGAATCATTTCGATTCCCTTGAATCTCGCCTTAAAGAAATAATTTAGACCATTCCATAATCATTGAGGGTTAGATTCGATGAAACAAATAACTTGATTTTTATTTTGAACAACGTCTGAGTGTGCAAATTTTTCTGTTTCCATATCCCACACATTATTCACATAGCCACAACTGACTACACATTCAGGTTCAAGGCAGAGTCGATTGTTCGAGCTTAGGTTGAGAATTGAGAATTTTGGTCGCATATAATAAGGCACCTTTCGTCGCATAAAATTACATATATTTTAAAATTACACTGGAAATTTCCCGATCCACTAATAGATGCATGATCCATAATAAATAATATGATGAAGTCACGGGAAAACCAATTTTCAATGGCTTTCCCTTCTTTCAACCCACCTCACCTATCCTGCTCTACGGGACTCACTGACGTTATGCCAAAGCCTAGCAGAGTACTTTCAGGTCACCCCGAAGCCTACCTGTTCTCGTTCAAAAGAAACTCATTTCTCAACTTTCGGGGACATTAGGCCTTTAAGGATGAGTCCGTGGTCTTCCAAACGTCTTGTTGAGGACGTGTCACGTCAGACCGATTTTAAGCCTGTTTCGCGTTTCGTGAACCATTTCATTGGGGATGTGGAACTTCAGGCCGATCTAAAATTCTTCGCACCATCTGGAATAGGTCTGAGGAGGGAATGCCTCCAGGAAGCATGAAATCCTACGCACGCGCCATGCGGGTAATTCGGGGAATGCCCGGATAACATTTCTCCAAGTTCCAGCATGTCGAATCATCGCTGCTATCCACTGATTAATTCTCAGCTCAACTCATGAAGTCAGCATGAAAATAGCTCATGCATTAAGAAATAGAAGGTCCAGACGCCGATAGGAAGGTTGAGGTAATCTTGAATCAAACATAATTTCCACACGACATCCTACAACACAGAGATACGAGACCGGAGCAAGCACTCTAAACTGAAATGAAGGACAGGTAATTATTTATATATTTTATTTATATAATTATTTATATAATTATATATTTTACATCGCAACAACATCGTACATCGCAAACAAGAACCCCCTGGACGGCTACCCAGGGGGGAAAAAGGGAAAAAAGAATGAAATTCACATCTTCAAAAAGGGAGATTCAATGACATCCACAACCCCAGGGAGATTGAGCTTCATTTTTGCTGGAACGATTCTGGGTTGAGAGAGGAAGAAGTATGCCGAATTTGTTCCTGTTGATGCTCTCAGAGAGAAATATGAGGAGGCTGAATTTTCTTGCGGGAAGGGATTGAAGAAAGGTAATAACCACTACCAAAGCCTATTGATAATAATCGGGATTTTATTCGAAATGGGGAAGGGAGGTCATCCGTACCTTTTATGAATGTGTTCCTATCGCTACATTTGCAGAACTAACTGGAACATCTGCTGGATAATAGAGAATAACGGTCTCCCCAATCAAGTCAATTATTTATTTCATTACCATGACTACATCTGTCGTTTGAAATCTTCGTTCCCCCTCATTCGAAAATGGACCACCCTGCCGACGGAGATCCGTTGGGACGGAGGAACGTGGAGGACTATGGTAGACAAATATTTCTATGCTCTCGTGGTTTCCCATCGATATACATAGCGTTCACGCCGAAGTCTTGATCCCAATTTTCAAGAGGAGATATCTTCGACTGGCATGAGAATCGTACGAAAAATCCAAGTCCCCTGGTAGGACTAGTGCCCAATCTCAATGTGATGAAGGCATCGTTGAGAGTGACGACTGAATGTCCCGGGTTCGATGGTATGATGGTAGCACTCCTGACCCTCTATAAAGAGGTCAGCTTTCAATTCCCGGCCGTCCCCTGGCTTTCTTTCCTCCTTCATCGTCCATCCAATCTCTACGTCGCAAATACTGTAGCCATCTATTCCAGAAAATACATCAGAACAGAGACAGAAGGTTCTTCCCTCACGATATCAAAGCCGTCATCACATTATTCCTAAACCGTACTTCTTTTCATATGCTTTTCTCTTAACCATATTCTTCCCCCAAAATTGCGAGTGCCTTGGAGTCCTTTTTTTCCAGGAAGGCATGAGTCAATCAACATGCAGATTCTATGTTTCGGTATGAGTGGAGATGGCTCCGCGTTTCATCTCCGTCCATTTTGACCACTTCCTGGCTTCTTAGGGATTTAAGAATGTTACCCCTAACGGTCTTTCATCATGTCGACCCCACTCGATAAGCCCTACATCAAGAAACTCTTTGTATCTATAGAAACCACGTGAGAAAGCTGATGACGAACCGAAGAGAACCAAGAGAGCACGCCAATCCCCAATTTCTTTCAATTTTTTTCTGCTGCACGGACGGGTATAGAACATGTAATTGATGAGTTCATTTAGGCGGGGAAAACGGTGTCGCTCACATTTTCGGAACAGAAATAACCGAAATTCTAAATGACCGAGTGAGACTATCAAATTTGAAAGCGTCGAAATCTTATTTGACTTTTAAAATGTCAACTGCATGAAAAGACCGAACGATGAGGTCATGACCGCTAAGGATTTCACCGTCCACTTTACTTTCAACGTTCATCCGGAAATGATTTGTCATTCGAGTTCTGGTAGCATTCGTCATTAGTCACGCCGGAGTCTGCTTGATGCATAGACGGTTGAGTTGGAAATTGTAAGCGACACCGTCGCTTTAAAAATCGAGAGCAGATACGGTTTTTCTATCCCTCATCGTTTTTTTCCTACTGCTACAGATGTGGCGCACAGATCGCTTCTTTACATGCCAGTGTCTTAGCCGGCCAGGGTGAAGAATTTTCCATTGCGGAGTCCACTTATTTTCTTCCACACCTCCAGTACACTACTCCATGCATTTTCTTCTTTTTCGCATAGGAATGTTTACAACAGCCATTCAACGCCTCTTTTCTATGAGCTTCCATACACCATCGAATCCACGATGGCACGAGGTGAATGTGAACAGA